CCCAAATCTTATTTGCTCAGGTGAAGACAATCCAATAGCATCCGGTATCAACGGATTTTTCATTCCTCCCACAAATTGTGGTAAGCCGGCGGTGGCATTGAGCCCTAAACTTACTTGCTTATTTGTATACAGCGATGCTCCAACAGCATCAGTTGTTGGTTGAAATTGTATATCTGTCCTAAGCCCTGGTAATCTAACAGGTGCATTTGTCGCTAATCTTACTTGTTCATTCGCTGGGCTCAATAATCCAGCATATGTGAACGGATTATTTATTTCTGCTTTAAATTCTGGCAGCTTAGTAGGAGTATTCACTGCCAAGTTAACCGAATCTTTATTATATATCGATGATTTAAAAGTATCAGTTGTCAGTGGATATTTTACATTCGTAGTAAACGCTGAAAACTGGCCAGGTACGTTTACGGCTACCTTTACTTTCTCATTAGTAGGTGTCCGTAACCCAGCAGTATCTTGAGTCAACCACTCTTTTGAACCTCCTGATAATTTAGTTGCACTCTCTGTGTAGAACTCTTTTGGTCGAAATGACTCATCAGATGGCGTAAGTGATTTTGCTGTCTCTATTCCAAACTTAGTTATGTCAGCAGCAGCATTATTTATGAAGGTTGCAGGATCCGCTGAGAGTACTGCACTAATGGTTTCGAAAAACAAGTTTCCCCAATCATCTGACGGTGCTGCTGATGTCCCAATAGGAGTAGAACTCGTATGACCGATACCTGAAGCTAGTACCAACACTAATGTACTTATTAGTTTTAAAATCATTGTTTCTCTATTTAACAATCTTTTATAATGTTTCTGCTTGTAAGATTTATAAATGACTGAAAAATTTTCTGTCGAGTAGGTTTTTATATTCAGTGAAAACGGTAGATTACGAAGTGTGATGATTTCAATGTATACATACTTTGTATTTGGTATCTTTAAAAAAATTTCGTTATATGTCACGTAGAAGAATGTACAATAGCCGTTTAGTTTTCAAATGAGTCGTATTATTGAGCAATATTTTTATTTTAACATTCTTAAATATTACATTGTCTGCTGACGAGTTTTTTGCAAGTCAGTTAGAAAGACTTTTGTTCAAGAAATTATTACACAGCTCCAGATCATCTGCTACCCCAATATGGTGTTTTCAGTGTACTAGATCTGTCAAGTATGATTTGTTCGCTGATTTAAAATATTTTTAATGATCCATATTTCAATAAATAATTTTTTAATTCTTAAGTATTATTGAGTGTTTGATTATTAAATTTATCATTAATATTGCCATGATGATGCTTGATGCTTGCATGAAGATATAGCTCGTCCTCGGCATATATTTAATTTGCGAACGATGCAGACGTAAAGCGCATCGTATACGCTCTTCGGTAGTAGCTATGGCAAAAATTAAGTGGGAGACTTAATTATTTAATGCAGTTGAGTTTGTATTTTTTGATTTTTTTTTAATTTTTAATTTTTAAGTTATCATTAGAATGACCGGGGAAAAAATTATGAAAAGGTAACGGCTTGGACTTTATACGTTCGGGAGAGAAAACAAATATCGACCGCGAAAACTGCAGTGCTCTGCATCCGCAGATCAGAGCAGACGATCCGGGCGAAGACCACCAGATGGCAAAGAGGACTTCTTTCGTGGTGTGGCTTCGACACCCAACCGTGCCATCGCATTATTGCGCTGCTATCGTGGTAGTCTGCACTCTCTGTGTTATCCCTGTAAAAAAAAATTTTTATTTTTTAGATACTACACTACCATACATCTTACTTGTTTCTGCCAATACATTCAAACGAAAGAACAGCCTTTATCTTTTACAAGGATGCGATTAATTTTTGTTCCAATTGAACTCAGTTCAGCTTGATAGTAAGTATAACATAATATTTATTTAATATGGTCTTCTTAAAAAACAATGTATTCTGGAGGAGTAAATATTTTTGAGACGAAATTAATTGAAGTCTTATGAATGGCTTAACAGTCTTCACCGTGACTTGGGAACAAGGAGCTATTTGTAGCTTTTTTTCATAGTTTGGCTATGAATATATCTGTTTATTACAGGCAAAGTATTCTGATACTGTAAAAGCATCAAAATAAATTGCACTAAACTTAAGTATAGGTCATAGGGTCATAGCCATTTGCGATCTTACATTGTTGGCTAGATCCAATAACTGTAATTTTAACAATAAAATTAACTTCTTCAGTAAAGCAAGTCTACAAGACTGTTCTATTAAAATTATATAACTTACGTAGTTTTCGTAATAGTAAATGTGCAAATTATTGAATATTTCAAACATTACGTCACGTATCTGATACAATCGAATTTGTTTACACCCAGCAGCAAATATAGAACTATATTACAAATTTTTGAGTTCTTTTTTACGCCCTCAAAATAAATTTGGCATACAAACTTGAGTAACAAATGTCCTCTCAACTAATCCCAATGAAATTGCTTCTATAAAAAGTCCTTGTACAATACATGTAGGGTGTCATCGTAATTCCAATTGCGAAGATTCATTAGTCGCTCAAGCAATTATCTTGCCGACCCTTTGTAAAAGATCAACACAGTAAAATTCACAAATACAAGTACATCGAAGCATTCCAGTGTTACAGGGGTCAAAAGAAGACCAGAGGCGAGAATCGATAGGATGAAAGGGGTTGGGTGTTGGGACGAACCGCCGATGAGGAATGGATGCTGGTTTAGCAAGAGTGCAGACTTGCCAGCGACGGGTGCATTGGCCCCTTGGCTTTCGTGTTCGTCTTCGGGTTGCTATAGCTACGCCCCCCCCCCTCTTACCCTCGACCACTTTTTATTTTTCTACTCTTCAAGCTTCTGCCACGTCGTCCTCTTCGCTTCAGTTTTATTCGATGTAAGCCTGAGGGGACGTTGTTTGTCATCCATCTCGCTGAGGTCCGATCGCTTCTTTTCCTCCCTCTTCTGTTACGTGGCCTGTCTAACGTTGCCCTGCTAGCCGTGCCATTATCCTCGTTCGTCTGTTGGGTTGCCTTGCTTTGGAGCTACTGAAAAAGAAACAATTCTTCGATAAGCAACACACATTGCGTAGTTCTTCTATTTTTAAAAATAATAAATGATAAAAAAAAAAAAAATTTATCAGCTGTTAAAAAACTCAGTAAAGCATTATAAATTGGATTTTCGTTAAAGTTGACTTGCATTTCTCATATGGTGTTCGGTGGATAAAGTACCCAAAACACTTTCGTGCTCAGAATAAAGTTTTTCAAAAATTTTCAGTTACTTTTGTACAGGTCTATGTTTTGCACTTACTAATTTTATGTACTCTACAATGTAATAATTATACTTAAGTTGATAAACTGAATGATCCTTAACATTAATTTTAAGGGTACAGTAAGAGATGAAGTATAAAAAAAGCTTTGATGATGAGGTTAACAATATTACGTGGTATAAAAAAAATGGTACTGGGTGAGAATAAAAGTAGGATGAATGATAAGATAACAAGTACACGACAAATTTGGAAAAATGGGTAAAGTAATCTGGAAATAACTAAACTCTGGTTTTAATGGACTAAAAAGGATGAAAAAATTGGACACTTCTCTTACAGTATCAAATTAACCTATTACATCAATGAATGAGTATAAACATCAAAAATTGAAGGTGTGCTCTTCTATGTCTTGGCAGTCGGAAAGATATATTCTGATCGAAAGTTAGATTTAAAGTTTCAGTGAATCAAATGGTCTTCGCAAAGTCCAGATAATAATCAAGAGTGTAAATCTGTCCTTGGGGTGCACTCGATTATGAAAGCAGTAGCGAAAAACCCTGGAAAATCCCGGGGCATAGGAAATTCATTAGAGTGCGTCCGATTTAAACGGCCGCAACAACTTTTCAGAATCGAGATACAATCGAGAGAGAGAGAGACGGAGGAGAAAAAAAAAGAACCCCGTCGAAGTTCGACTCGATTGTTTCTCTTAACGCTGCATTAACTTTTACGATCTGGATATCGAGCCATCGTGCAACGCGCCCCGCTATGTACTTTTCTTTGGCACGCGACTCGCTAAAGTTACGCGGACTCTGAGCTAGGCAGAGAAAAGGAAAAAACAACGAGATAACTAAAAAGCGAGGACATTTCGCTTATGAAAAGTTACATGTCCAGTATCTGTATCAAGAAAAAGAGAGAAAAAAAAAAACTACACTGGCTCTGGTAGGAAAAAATTCACTCATTATATCGATACAATTGCAACTACATGAATTTCGTTTAATGAAACGTTAACCTATTGCATTGAATGAAAAAGTTCAGCTAAATTTCGTATCTATTCAATTTTTTATCTGCTTGACAATTCATCACGTGACTATATCCTTGGCTATGTACGTGGAGTCAAGATAAACATAATAAGAGAGGCAGTTTTAAATTGACGGTGGTACATTAATATCAACCAGTTGCTCGGAAACCAAAGGACAACGATAATAATGAGTGTAAATAGATTGAGAAGCAGTAAAGTCGTAAAAAAAAATCAGTCAATGAAAAAAGGATTGAGGATATACATCATGAAAGAAGTATAAGGTCCAAAACAGCAGGTAGAAGTCAAGACATCCCTTCCTTCTTTTTGGAGAATCGGTTTAGTGCAATCCAAACCAAGATTTCGAGCCGTGGTCGGGTTAAGCAAGAGCTTTAAGAAGGATATTAGGACCCCAGTTATTGTGGCTCCAGCTCGTCTAAAAAGACCGCACAACACTCCCTCCCGAAAACGAATCACTCTTCACTCACGCCTCCGCCATATTGGCCACGCGCCCCGCATCAGCAGCAAACGCCTTTATCTTTACTCTCTCTCTCTCTCTGTCTCGCTCTCTGCTTTGCTACATAAGCTCAAAGGCCCTGACTTTTACGATTCTGTTCAAGTGGTCATAAAACTCGAGTTTACTGCTGCCATGATTTTCAAGCAAACTGTCTGCCACCTGTCGGATCCCCTTGCTTTCTCTCTTTCAACTACTACACCAGGCCTGGCCATTCTCAACAATGACTGCCCCTGAGTGCTCATGGGGTTCATCGACGGATCGACGACGCTCCTTTGCCTGATGCCCCTCTCGTATCGTCCTGAAACAACTCTCTGGACTCTTTGGTCTTTAGGCTCGATTATCCTTTTTCCCCCTTCCACACTTCTTCCTTTCGCCCTTCTTGCAGTGTGCTCTGTATAGGCCTTTCACTTAGGACCTATTCATAAGAACGTTATGCGTTCTCCCTACCTGGCTTTCATCCACACTTTCTTGCTTTTTATTTTTTTTTTCAATGCTCTTCTTTACACGATCCTTTTGTTGTGATAGTGTGGACTTCAAAGAATTTTGATGAATGGAGATTTGCTTTTTTTTTTGGACATTGGTTTTGGCGTTTTTCAGATGCTTTTAATGAAAAAAAGGGCTATTAGGTGAGGTCCACCGAGTTTGATGATGGTTCAATTAAATTTTGATCATTCACCTTTTTCTCGTAAAATAAGTAGCATCAAGTTACATGTTGCATAAGTCATGCAATAATCATCACATCCATTTTTCCCACAAGATTCTTTTCCCGTACTGATTAAATCAAAATGCTAATTTGTTTTACCGCTCTTCCAAGTACCAATTAGGCATGACATGTCCATTTTTCGGGAAAAGTAATAAAAATCAACAAGAAATCAGCCATCAAGACGAGAAACTCGACAACGTCATAAAAATCATATTTATTTACTTGAGGGAGGTGATAAAATCGTAAAAGTCGCGCGGCAACCGACTACTATCGTCATTATCATCATTGAAACATCAGACCGAATTTTATGGGTCGTATTTCGCGCTCGAAAAACGTTTATCGGTCGTTAAGCGCAAAATTATAGGTAAACAAAGCCACGTGGCAAGTGTATTACGTCAGATGATAAATATAAAAAAAAAAAAAAAAATTAAAAGAAAGAAAAGCAAAGTGGCCCCTCAACTCTATCACTTCTCGTCACACTTCCAGCCTCTCTTTCTCTCCCAAGCAACACTCAAAAAATCGTAAAAGCTCTCGCTCGCACTTAAATTCGATCTCCCGCCTGCTCTTACAGATTTTATGGCTGCCTTGAAACAAGAAGAGGAAGAGGGAGAGAAAGAGAGAGAAATACACAGATTACGGGGGAGTTTGGGGCCGGCTATCGTTAAACATTAACACAACAACGATTGAGAGAAAGACAGCTCGTGCGTACAACTATGTAGGCACATACATAAACGCAAATATCTGCAGATATGTATGTATGTATAGAGGTGGTGGTTGCTTCTAGTGCTGCTGGTCCAAGGGGCTTATGATGGGCATTACTCGGCTCGTTACGGAATAATTTACGAGGTGCGAGAACCACGGGGGCGATAATCCAACGACATTTACATCCCAATAAACACTCCGATACACAGGAGCCGCTATCCTGGCTGAACTTGCTTGCCACACGCCTCCTGCTTAGTACAGTGCGTCTAGCTCTCTCGTTCTTTCTCTATGTATGTGTAATAATAAGCACGTAGGGGCGGCTGGTGCTCTGCTCTCCACTCATTTTTACGACGTTTTAATTGTAGGTCGCGAGTCTAATTGGCCCGTAAAGCGTCTAGGGCACGCTCGTAAAGTGCTTTACGATTAGAGGCGCCGAGAGTTTTGTAAAACTCGTACGGAGCGATTGTCCTGACGTGAACTTTGACATTTGGAGATGTTTGTGGAAATCCATCATCGTCGTGTCGAGTGAATAATTGAATCGATGGACCGTGAGCGTATCTAATCGAAGGCTTGTCGATAAGAGGATTTGTACGAGGAAGTTCGCTGATGTGACGTGAATAAATTGGTTTTCTCCTCATCTATCGGTTAGAAATTCATTTCAGTAAACATCATAATTGTTTTGACTACATTCGTGTGGGTGATTACTTTCGCTCAATTTTTTCCTTTGACAAATCTTGCCACCTAGTTAATAAATATCCTGTCAATATTGATCAATACTAATTGCTATAATTTGTTTGTCCATCAGCTTTTAAAATAAATCAACTCGACAATCCCATCGATTTTGGTAGGAAAAAAAAGTTCCAAGCAATGATCCCAAAACAATCGTCCATATCGCACCTGATGCAGTCCCTCGGAATCCCTCGCGAGACTCTCGATAAAAGTGGCAATTACCGAAACGGCGAGTGTGCTCCCATCGAGTGGCCCATCGAAGTTGATCGTTTGAAAGTCCCGTCCGCACAGTTCAGCTGCGCTCAAAGAGATGGCGTTAAACCCCTGACGCACGCATTCCCAGGTACAATATGTATATACAAGTCGTGGCTCGCTCGCGTGTTCAGGCACCAGCGGGGGCGGAGCCCCATCAGACTCGGACGAAGGAGTGGGAGAAAAGAGAGAGGGAGGGGAGTGCGAGAACTGCACTGATGGGTACCAGTGGTAGGGGGAGCGCCACTTTCGCTGAGCGTGCGAGCGCGCCACTCGTGACGAATTCAATTCTGATTGGTCCTTAAGCATAACCTCCCCCTTGGCACCTCGCATCTTCCCGTTTCCCCCTCCCCCTATTCTCTCTCGTTCCGTCTCGTTCTCACTCACACGTAAGGTCGTGTTCTCCCACCCCTTCCGTCACGATCACCGCTGTCTTTGTTGCTCCGATGGGCTGAGCCCCTTGCCTCCGTCCTTGTCGCTCGCATCTTATCTAACCAAGGCACGAGTAGCTTCGGTAGGGCTATAGTCGTACGGGGCTTTAGACGAATTTAATCCAGCAGCACGTCGTTGAGTTACCGGGGCTCTCTATAGGGGGCTCTCTAGGCCGAACACAGCACCCTATATACAGAGTCTCTGAAACAAACAGAGAGAGAGAGAGAGATAAAAGTCGTAGAGGCTAGCGAGTGCGCGATAAAAAGTAAGAGAGTGAGAGAGACAGAGACCAGTGGAGAGCTCCATAGGGAGTAGGGAGAGCGAGCGAGACGGAGGCTAAAAGGATCGAGAGAAGGAAAGAGATTGAAGGTGGAAGCGAGAGAGGAGAGGCAAAGCACGCGTTCGCTCGCTCGGGTTATCGCGCACTGTATTCCCTATACGTATAGGCTCTATATGGAGTGCGAGGAGAGGGGGGCGAGAGCAGCCGGCTCGTGTGTAGGCTGCCTGCTGCTGTGATCACACGGGAGCAAGGGAAAGAGAGAGAGAGCCCAAAGGTAGAGCACACATGTATACAGTCGGGAGCGAGAAAGATAGCCGGACAGACGGTAGTGCAGGAGTCGTAGAGGCTCGTGCTCTCGCCCTGCATGGCGCATTATACGTCCTGCGGTGTACAGTGTGCGGTGCTTAAGCGGGCGGGCAAGCGAGTTCAGGTTGACTCTTTGACACTGTTCGTATACGTCATACATACGCCCACTCGCACGTGAAACTGTCGTCGTTGTCATAATCGTGATTTTGGTCGTCATCGTTGACGTTCGAGTCGCTTGTAATCAGAGCTTTACGTATCGGAATTGACGTGGGGTGCAAGAAAAGCACCCCGAATAGCAGTGTAGGGTGCCGTGGACCACCGCACTGGCATTTCGCCTTGGTGTAACGATCCCACACACGGGCCTCTCGCGGGCAGTGCAAACAGCGGGCTGCATATACATCGCTGTTGCTGCTGTGCCTCCCCATCGGTGGTATTATATATACATATATATATATATACACAGACGTACTGCTGATATTGCAAGCCCGCGCGCGCACACGCCGCGCTCACTCCTTCCTCTCGTCTCTTTTCTCGGTCGTCTCCTCGCGCGGGCCGCCCCATCATCAGTCGGCGCACGGCGATTGCGGCTGCTGGTGGTGCGTTACTTTCTAAACGTCGTTCCGAGTACTACTTATTATTGGCTCGTCTCGTTACGTTTTATAGTGTGCAACAATTACCCGCTTGTCTCTCTTCCTCATTTTCTCCTTTTACCTCTTTTACCCCGCCACATCCCACCTTTCGACGAGCCATCGGTACGAGTGAGGATTATCATCGTTATCGACATCACTGGCAGCAGCAGCAGATGATGATTTTTATTTAATCGGTTTTTCGTTTTTTACGATAGCTCATTATTACCATCCCTCTTACACCCAAAAAGGATCTGCCGATAATTTGCAAACAGTCAACGATATCGGTATCAGTGAAGAGGAAGAAGCGCACCGGGAAATCGAGAAGTGTCAGTGGAACGGACGCAGCGCCGACTGACACGCGTGTCGCGTGCCGGCACTCGTGCTCGGTGATCCCGGGCCATTTTTATAGCTCGAGCCATAACCCGGTTTATTGCCTCGTAACGACCGGCTTAACGATCGTCTCCTCCTCAAACGAGCCGAGCAAAGTGTTTCTGCCGGTCGACGCGGAGGAGTACCGAAATCCAGTGAGTGAGCACGAGATTGACAGCTCGGGGTCGTAAACTGTGAGGATGCTCGCCGTGAAAGCTCGGCTTTGCGCGTCCTGAAAGACGAGACTTTATATACGCACGTATATGTATATATATATTTTTTTTCTTCTTCACCGCTGGACAGTTGAGAAACCACGGGTGACCACGACTTTTAAGTGCAGTGCGATGAAACAGAAGTAGGGTGAGAAGAAAAAGAGAAAGCCGATCGGTGGCCGAGAGCCGGCCCCCTGTGTGTTTTGGGTATACCTTGGCGGAGGACGAGGGTTTACGGACGGTCCACCAACTTTGATGGTCTCTCGAAAGAGGCTCTGATGTACGAGCACAGCCATATCATCAGTTTGGATTTTCGCGCGCAATCGAAACTCTAAAGACAAGAAAACAAAATTGCAGTGATAACGTGAAAAGAAAAATCGTTCGGTGGTGGCGCAAAGTTTAAGTGTGGACAAAATAAACGATTCAAGATAGCGTCGAGCTGCACGACGATGAACTCGTACTTCGAGCAGAGCGCGGGTGGCTTCTACGGTAGCCACCACCACCAGACGAGCGCCGCGGCCCAACACCACGACCCCGCGACGGCAGCCGCCTACCGCAGCTTTCCCCTGGGCCTTGGCATGTCGCCGTACGCCTCGTCCCAGCACCACCACCACAGCTCCTCGAGCCTGGGCATCCACCCGGGCGGTGGGACAAACACCCGACCACCCCAAGACTCGCCCTACGACGCTAGCGTAGCCACAGCTTGCAAGCTCTACTCGACGACCCCCGAGGCGAGCGGCCACACCACCTCCTCGTACAGCAGCTCCGCGGTAGCAGCAGCAGCAGCAGCCGCGGCAGCCTCGGTCAGCAAGGACTGCAAGCAGCAGGAGCAGGCCGTAGCTGCAGCGGCAGCGGCCCATCAGAACGGCTACGCGGCCGTGATGGCAGCGGCAGCGGTCAAGGATGTGTGGCAGTCGGCCTCGGCCGTGGCAGCCAGTAGCCAGAGTGCCGGGGCGAACTCCTCGGTGGTGCGGCCCTCGGCCTGTACTCCCGAGGGCTCGCGGGTCAGCAGTTACTCGGGTCTCGTGAGCGCCGGCGACGCGGCCTCGAGTCCCGGGAACAATGGCTCCAGCCGCTCGCTCACCTCGTCCTGGAACACCTGCAGCCTCAACACCTCGGCGTCGAGCCAGCCCGTGGCCACTCAGCTACACCAGCAGCCTGCCAATCATACCTTCTACCCCTGGATGGCCATAGCAGGTGAGTCTTTTTTTTCTTTCTTTTTTTTCTTTTTTTTTCTTCTTTTTTTTTACGAGTACAGTGTCGTGTACCTAAATTACGTACGGGCCAATCTTCCCCCTTGGTATGTGTAAAGGTGGAGACCGCGTGATCTCTTGACACACGTGTAATCCAACAGCGTAGCGCCCGCGGAACAAGTACACGCCAGAGCGCACACGGGGTGAGAGAAAGAGCACGTGCTCGTTGTCGAATCGGACGCGCGCTCCTTGTCCCGTACATGTGTCGGTGTGCGAACACGCGCTCGGGACAACAGAGAGCGCTCTGGGCCTCGTTTCGTTGATGCTGGGGCTCCAAGTGCACAATAAACGCGTGCGGTTATATTTATGTGTGTGTGCTTGGACGAGGAATGGCAGGGAGGGGTGAGCGACCGTGATGTATACGGCTGAGGGAACGGGAATATGCGAGCATCGGCCTAGAAATTAAGTGGAGAGGCGGGCGGGTGTTATTATTTTGCCGAGTCGATTTTGCGCGACGCGGTTACGGGGCTCTATTCTATGTGGGTCGAGGGAGAGAAAAGGCCGGACGCGAGGGGGCGAAAATGAGAGCTCTCGGTGTGATTAATGGTGGCGAAGGCCCTTTAAAAAAAAGCTCCGCCGACAGGTTCCTTTAAATGCCCTATGCGCTAGTGGAGCTCGGCTCTCGGTTCTCTTTCGTGCTTTTTGACGCTACATGGGTGTGAAAATAATTGGCCGTATTGTCTAATTACACAAGTTCGTAAGAACGAGTACCACTTAGCTTTGCTCTATTTAGGTATACTCTCGTTTAAAAGCTTGAAAGCTCGCGTGGCTTCGAGTTTGTATTTTTTTCCGATTTTCCTCTCCAAAGTAAAACGTACGACCCATCCCCCGGAAATTGATCGCCCTAGGCACCGACTGTAACGTTGCTCGAAATTAACAACCAAAACAAAAGCTGCCCACTGTGTATTTCCGTCGTTTCTTCGCACGTGCTTATTATACACCAATGACGCGATTTCCGATACATGCTGGCACAAGGGCCCAACTATTCGCACGTACGTGGCCGATTAAAATGCGAGCGGGGCGTTCGTCATGCCCGCGTTACAGTCCAGCTGGATTTTCGCCTTCTCCTTCCTTCATGCCCGGCTCCAAACCGAAACGTAAATTTATCGTCGCCCCGAACTAAAAATATTCCGTCGCTCTCTCTTTCTCTGTTTTTGTAAGCGCGCGTACGTGTGCGTTGGTGCCGGATGAATGGATCGTGGATACCTATATACGCGTGTGAGAGCGTTCTCGCCCCGGATCGGCCAATAAAGTATACGGAGCTCTCGACAACAAGCTCTTCCTCTCCTCCTCGCTTGCGGAAACCCGTGCGGGCTCCGAGCAGTTGTTTTGCCGAAAAGCTGCCGGTGTTGTTGCTGCCTGGTGATGTTAATGGCCGGGCACGCGTATATTTACCTGGTCGTCTCGTCGCCGCTACTCCACAGTCGTTTCGATAACGAAATTGCGCGTAAAACCAAAGATAAGTACCCGCTTCCTTCTTGCCCTGGTTGATTGGCCGGTACGTTGTTCGTTCAGTCAAATTTCAAGCACCCTGAAAAAAAAAAGCTTTCGTGAGATGGAAATCAAGCTGTTGTTTTTTTTCTGTATTGGATAGTGAAAAAATTGACTCGTAAGAAAAAATGTTTACCCTCATATTTTACGGATACTGATAACATTACGACGCGTAGGTACTAAGAATTATACATTTGCTATGTAACACGATCCCCTACTCAACGACTCAATCAACATAAATTTCCGTGAAACTTGTTTTAGATAAATCAATGGAATCTCTCGTGAGAAACTTTATTTTCCTCGCACGTACGTACGGAATTCTATTAAAACGCAGCCATCATCGTACGTTTCGAAATCATTACCCACGCGATACACCTCCCTTCTCGGTGTACGATGTATCGGTAATCTCCGGTACTCACGCAAATCGACCTCTATTTTCAAAATACAAAATAAACGCACGTGAGCAAACACCGGTCACTCCTTGCAGAACCAAAATTTATTTTGAAAGCAAACGCGCTGAGTGTAGCGCAGACAGGACGCAGAGTTACACTCTTTGGCACCGTAACGCACGTGAGACGCATGAAAATCGCAAGACAGACAGCTTATCGCGTTCCAGATATCGCGCTCGCGCCCATGCAACTCTCGGCTCTTGTCTTATCTCCGGGAAAATCAGAGGTCTACGTTCGGCTTTTCGAGCCTGTCGTCTCTTGAGAATTCGAGCAATGCCTTGGTCAACATCACAGGCTGCGACACAGGAATAAACGCTTTTTTTCCCCACAAGACGTAAAAGTATCCCCTGACTATTGCGACACGCCTGTAAGGTACACCGAAAAGTTTTTTACTCCCTGTACGCACGTCTTACCCAAACTGGATTTTACTACTTAGAAGGTGCAGCCATGTCATTCTCCGATATATACATTCTGCACTATTCTCTCTTTCTCTCATTCGAGTGAAACATCGCCTCTACACCCTTTTTGAAAGCCTCCAATAAATCCAAGCTCCGACAAATACTTTCAATCGGAATCTCTTTATGTACACACCCGAAATTTTCCCTTCCTCCATTTTATATGTATCTTTAAAAACAGCGTATACACAACGGCCAACCAATCGAAATGTTTTTTTCCCTCGGTATTCCTCTCGGCTACCCAGCAATCAATTTTCTCCTTCTCGAACGCGACTGTCCTCTAAATCCATGTACGCGCGAAAAGAGAGATCCGAGAAAAAGGGGTCCCGCGAATGTTTGCGTACTACGGGGGCAAGAATAGAGTCAAGTGCGTGTAAAATCGCGCGCGCGCCTACTGTGGCCCGGGCATATTTATACGCGCGCACAATGGGGGAGCTAGGAGGGTTAGCCTCTCTGTTCCCCGATTAGGGTTCAAGTGGCTCTTTCTCTGCGTCCCTTTGACACACATATAATAACCGAGCCCGCGCAGGATCACCCCTCCGGAACCTGAATTCCGATGGTACACGGGGGCAGTCAGCTGTTCTCGGTCCCGCAGAATCCGAAAGCCATCAGCACGCTCCTCCTCGACTCCCTTGCGTACAACATACCTATGTATATATATATTCGTACCCACCACACAAGCACGCGCATACATATACACTCTCATAATGATAGGCCGATGCTCGAGAGCGAGCCCCCTTTACCGTCTCCTGTTCTCCTTCTCTTTTTAGATCTGCCTTCTCAGCTGTTGTTTGGTCGTTTGTCTCTAATCTTCGTTCGCGTGCATGCGTACATGGAGATCATCCGTATTGGTTCAAGGTTCATTTGATGAGTGTTGAGCCGCGCGTTAACGAGCGTTATTTATTTGGAGTCTTATTTCGTCGAGCTTGCGTCTGTGGAAGCTATTTTTATCCGACGTTCTCGATACTTGTGTTATTTTATCCGATGATTATAGGAAAACAACCGAATTCGTTTTTCATCCCGTTAAGTATCATTTTTTGGGATCTTGAACACTTTTTTGTTCGTTCAACTTTAAGCAAAAGAGTAGTATGATAGTAAAGTCGATTCACGTGTCCATTGGAGTGCAAATTTAAAGAAATCTTTTAGTTCAAGAGGCTTCACAGTTGAGATGAGAATTATAATCACGTGTGTACCTATAGCTCGAGCAAATTTACTCGCAGTACTGCCGTGCAAATTTACTCATTGAATCTCGAATTTTTTTTATAAATTATCATAAAATAGTCGGCCCATAAATAACCAGATTAATTCGGCTGGTGTCGTCGACTCCTGGCGTCCGGAAAAACAAGTGTGCGCGTGTCTCGCAGTCGGCATTACCGGTAGCAGAGAGCGTCAACCCTCTTGGCCGTAGCGCGAGAAATTACATTCCGGACGCTAATATAGACGGAAAGGCTGAATTATCGATCTATCGCGAGCGCGAGGATGAAAAGTTGGCTCTCCGAAACCTGTTCCCCCTCGCAAGCGCGTGTACATACGTACGTTTGTCCGGCAGCTCGAAATCGCGCACTGCACGCGCACACCGCCATCTCCTACTCCTCCTTTTCCTCCTCCCTCGTGCTATCGTTGAGGGAGAGACGGCAGGCGCTTAATAACTCCCGGCGCTACGAGCGATGTAACACACGAAACTACTATTGCTGCTGCGGCACGTATATACGCCCCGAGAAGCGAGCTTGCGCGTACACGTACGTGTGTATAATCTAATCGAGCGAGCAATCGATCTTCATTTCCAGTAGTTGCTCGTGCGGGCAAGCCGATATTTCCACGATTGTTAATCTCAAGACGATCGAGTGGCTTCCGTTTCTGTGATTCGAGAATTGAACTGTAGATTAGTGATATTCGATGATTGTACTCGAGCTTAATAGTGCTCTTCGCGTTGAGGGTGATAATAATACAGATTGTTTGTTGTTTGTGACAAAATAAAAATTTTATTTAAAAGTACTATAATTGAATCAACCATTGAAGTATAAAAGATATGGTTTATTTTATAATTTTTTTTTTTGATTACTAAACGTTACACTTGCTTAATAATTTCGTCTCATAAAAAGATAGAATTTAATTGGAAAACACAATAACTCAATAAATGATTTAAAAAACGTAGTTAATCAATGTTTAATGAGATTAATTCTTTTCAATTTCCTACACCTTACTATTCCCAAATTTCCAAATTCACTCGAGCCAACCTGTAATACTTGTTAAAAACGTAAACCGTGACAAGGGGAAATATCACCCACGAGAGAAAATTGATATTACTTTGTCAGACAAGTCACAAAGTTTTAAAAAAATTCCAGTTGGTAAAAAATTTTGAAAATTTTTCAATTTGACAAATTTCAAATTCACACTCGTTTTTAACTTGAGCGTTTTCAAGGTTACAGCAACTTTGGTCCTCAGATGATTCCAATTTTCTTGTACGGACTAGATTTTTAAACCACACTGCACATTTCTTAGGGGTTCGAGTTAGATTTATATCATTGAAATCTACACGTGTTATTCCA